GGGTTCGCTTTAAAGAGCTGTAGGTTCACTGCTGGCTCGAATCACATGATACTGGGTCACATGATACTGGGTCACATGATACTGGTTCCTTTGTCATTCACACATTATCCTCAGTGGTTTAGATTAGATTCCACTTCATTGTCATTGAACAGAGTACAAATACTAAGACAACGAAATGCAGTTAGCATCTCACCAGACGTGCAAAACAAGCAGATAGAAGAGTTATTCATGCTATCATATAAATATATATATATATACAAACTGATTTATTTACACTACAGTATAATGAGGTATAAACATTATTAAAAGCAGTAAAGAAATTGAATACACTATAGATCAGGTATGAAAATAGACATTATAATACAGACACTATCGACAATAAATATGAATATACCACAGACTGTAATTTACATTTGAAATAATATGATGTCATACTTTATACAATGCATCCAAACCAATCATACGTCAATGCTTACAATGGAAAGGGAGGTTTAAAACGCCTTAATAAAATCAAATAAATCAAATAACTTAACATGGGGAAAATATGTTAAATAACAAATATTTAGATTTCTTTTTTAAATAAGAATGAATCCAGCAGAGAGCAGCAAAGACAATGTGGAATGGTGAAATGTAACTATCTTCTTCTTTGTTGGTGCCTTCTCCCTTCAGTTCAATACAAACATTCAAGAATGTTGGAAATAACTTACAAACTTACATTTTTGTATTCACCAAGCAGCTGGCTGTAGTTTAGCAGAGTGGCAGAACTGAGTACACTTGAATAGGATAGTTATATTCATCATCGCACATCTTCCTCTTATCATCCAGCCGAGCTTACGTGCCAATACAACTTGCACACCTCCCTTTAAGAGTTTTTATTTCAATTCACAAGACATACATTATATTGAAATACACACGATAATGTGTATTGCATTTCACTTTAATGTATTGTTTGATGTGTCTTTATTAGCACATTTAAAGTATGTATCATTTTAAATGTGCCTCAAAAGCTGCGACAAAACATGGCCCCGCTTTAGAAGAAAATCTAATGTTGAAGCTGACAGATGATTCATAAAGACATGCCTTCAGTGGTCAGCCACCCACCATTCCAACTACTGAACTATCAGTAGGAGGCCGTTCTCAAGCAGCTGTACATTCAATACGATCATGTAGTAAAACCCGGGAGGGCAAAGTATTGTTCCCACACGTCTGGAACATATGAGTGCATCGCAAAGTCAGCGTAAACCATATCAAGCATGTCATCGCTGAGTAGCTGCAGGATCATTTAGTTTCAAGTTCCCATCTACTGTAAATTGTCTATGTGCTTGCTTTGTGTAGTACTTGGAGTGCCCTTTGTGTATGAAACTGCTGTATAAATCAAGTTTGCTCTGGTTTGATATGAGCAGGGCATGCCAACAGGAGAGATAGAAGTCCTGGCTGAGAGCGTGGAGGTTTTGAACGTGTGCCGCACGTTGCCTTTTGAAATGAAAGACTTTGTCAAAGTAAGTCACTACTTTGCACATTTTAAATTATATTTTATTATTGTTATTAATTATGAATGATTGTGTTTTTGCACAGAAGTCAGAGTCTTTGCGGATGAAGTACCGCTACCTGGACCTGAGGTCGTCTGAGATGCAGAGGAACCTCCGGCTGAGGTCCCAGCTGGTGATGAGGATGAGGGAGTTCCTCTGCAACCAGCACGGTGAGCAGAGCCAGGACCAGGGGGGTTACCTTAGAAGTCATTAGTTACCTGTTAAGAAAAGTAATCAGTAACCTAATCTGAGCTTCAAAATATAAAAGTAATGTAATCTGATTACTTTCAGTTACTTTTGGATTAGCTCAATATCAAATGCAGTGCAAATGAATCCAAGAGAGAAGAAATATCATTTAGATGTTTTTTTTACTGAAGTGCTTTAGGTCAGACATCAGAACAATGTGACCTTAGGAAAGAAGAAACCAAGATATTTAGGATCAGAAACGATTTATTTTATATGAAAAGCTGCCTTTCATGAAGCATATTCATTCAGGAATACATCAGCGATGAAACCCATGAGCACAGACTACAGTTTAACAAAGCAGGAATACAATCAGACAGAAAATGCTCTGTTTTTGTTTAATACACACAGTTACACTCACACACTCTATTGTATGAATGTATAGGTGAATACAAAAAAGAACAAATGAATCAGGATACTTGTATTCGTTCCACAGGGGGGAAATGTACGTGTGACAGCAAGTACAGAGCTTCATATTAATTAAGAAGCATGCATACAAATATTAAAGATAAAAGTAGAAGTTACATCATTTCCTGATAATGTAATCCCGTTTCATGTAATCCATTACTCCTCACACACACACACACACACACACACACACACACACACACACACACACACACACACACACACACACACACACACACACACACACACACACACACCTCAGCATACGGGCCCTGATCAGACTGAAATGAGAGGACTGTGATTAATAGAAGCTGTTCTGTACTTTAGTGTAGGGTTGGCCTGGGTTTTCTCTCAGATGCATGGACGTTATCTAGCTGTCTCTTTTATTCTTCTCATTGTAGGTTTTGTGGATGTGGAAACTCCCACCTTGTTTAAGAGAACACCAGGGGTAAGAAGATCCTTCATTATTTAAATATTCCCGCACAGAATTCAACTCACTTTGCCCATCAAACAGTCGAAGCCTCTGAGAATGTTTCATAATAGAAAGAGATGACTTGTATGTTCTGCTTCCCTCAGAACCATGTGAAGGCCACACTCTGATCATGGTCTTGTGTTTCAGGGAGCCAAAGAGTTTGTGGTTCCGTCCAGAGAGCCGGGCCGCTTCTACTCGCTGCCCCAGAGTCCTCAGCAGTTCAAACAGCTGCTCATGGTGGCCGGGGTCGACAGGTAAGGGCAGAGCTCATCTTATCGGATGTTATTAATGTGCATCTGCTGAGGGGAAACTACAGTTCTCTGTACAGCAGTAAGTAAGCCCATCTACTGTAGATACTTTGCACCGTGCGCTCTTATGGTAAAACATATATTTTTTTTAAATACAATTGTATTTATTACATTACATTGCATTTAGCTGACGCTTTTATCCAAAGCGACTTACAATAAGTGCGTTCGACCAAGAAGACACAACCTTGAAGAAAACAGAATCATATAAGTACATCAGGTTACATAGAGCCAAAACATTTCAAGTGCTACTCAACTGGCTTTAGGTAAGCCAGTCCTTTATTAGTATAAAAGTGCTTTGTTTATAGTTATATCGCTCGAAGTGGAGTCGAAAGAGATGAGTTTTCAGTCTGCGCCGGAAGGTGTGTAAGCTATCTGCTGTCCTGATGTCAATAGGGAGCTCATTCCACCATCCTGGAGCCAGGATAGCAAACCCACGTGTTTTTGCTGATGGGAACTTGGGTCCCCCTCGCAGTGCGGGTGCAGCGAGCCGTTTGGCTGATGCAGAGCGGAGTTTATTTATTATAAACTTGTTAAAAGTTGATAAATCAATTTAGCGAAAATGAAGGCTATTAAAAAGTATTAAACGGCATTTTCCAAGGTATTAAGAAGGTCCACAGCAACGACAACATGAAACACCCTTTATTTTACTGCAACCACATGTCGGGGAAACCCCCTCAAGGCCCCATTCATAGCGCGCCGTCAAATGCTTCTTCTTATTTTAAGTTTCGTTGCCTTGCTCCGTGTGGAAGAGTGTGTGGGGCGCCACTGATGGTGATGAAAGCTGGTTCGAGTGGCACCCACACCTCTAGAATCGCCATTGTCGATGGGGATCAAAAATAAGCCATGTGCAGTAATATAGAAAATCGAGGATGCAACGCATTGGGCCTCGTGATGCATCGGGTTATCGAATTTAATCGAATCGTTGACAGGATAATCGTAATCGAATCGTGAGACCAGTGAAGATGCACAGCCCTACTGTTGTATTCCTTGAAGTTGGTTATTTAATACTGGACAAGTGCTCTCATAATGACTATTAGAATCATTTGTTGGTATTGATTGAATATCTGAGCTGCATGTGCATTGGCACTTCTTTTTGTTTACAGCCAGGCACAGGCAACCATTTTTGACTATACCCATTTGCTGTACTTAATCCCAATTGTACATTCACGTTACTGACTCCTTCATATCCACTTTGATACGGACATTTTTAAGAAACCTTAAATAAAGGAAGGTTTCATTTTGCACCTTACTCCTGTTGTCCATCTCTTTTATGTTATGGCTTGACTGGGGAATCTAGCCATAACAGTATACAGCAGGGGTAGGCAAGTAAGTTTGGCCGTGGGCCAATTTTTTTCTGAGCCACAAGATGGCGGGCCAGAACATAATCAAAGCCTAATTCAAGGAATTGATTTTGGTAAGAGGGCGCAGCGCCCCTGTTCCCCGGTTCAGAAAAAAACTCTGATATCGCTGATAACCCTCCCCATCAACACTCTGATGCGCAGTCAGATCCGCTGATTGGTTCACTGATGATATAGGCGCCCAATCCAGAGCCTCTGGCTAGACCCGCCCGAAGAGAGGCTCGTCCTCTCTAGCCCCATTTCAGTCCCAAAGCCAGGGCTATTATCTGTATTTTAACAGACTTATCTTTTAAATTGAGGTGTATTTATTGTTCTCTTCAAAGTTTATTTTTCACTGAAATCTTAGGGAGGATGGTCCTCCCTTTCCTCAATGGACGAGCCTCCACTGAGTAGAGTTATTAACTAGGTAGCAGTGTTATTTAACATAATTTTATTGTCAAGTATTGTCAAGTTCTCTGTTTTTTTTTGCATTTATTTGAGTGTTTGCCCACATTTGAGAGGCTTGAGGGGCAAAAGTATTGGCTTTCAGAATATAAAACTTGTTCCGGCAAATTCAGATGATAACTATAACTTTGAAGCTTGTAACGGCATAATTACAATCGGAGAACGGAGTAACTTAACGTCACAGCAGGCATAACAACAGCCGGTGTTTCTGGTGAGTGTTTTCCCCGAGAAACAAACACAACACACACAAATGCAAAATTACACAAACACACACACACATACACACGCACACACACACTCGCAAGCTTCCCCCAGACCAGTAATCCAAGATATTTTGATGGAAAGGAGTTCAGGGAAGAGATGCTGTCTCTTATTCCATTAGAAGGGCACACCACTGGGGACGTTATATTTACGAAACTGGAAGAGTTGTTTTGGCTGCATTCATTGTCATTTGAGAGGGTTAACCTAATCGTGACAGACGGGGCTCCTGCTATGGTGGGAAAGCACGGAGGTCTGGTAAGCAGGTTGAAGGAGCACGCCCCCCAAATGCATGGACTGCACTGTCTCATCCACCAGAGTGTCCTTTGCGTCAAACTCAGTGGTGAGCTAAAGGAAGTTATGGACAAAGTGATGCGTGTCATTAATTTTGTCAGGGGTACATCAAGCACCCAGCATCGGCTTTTCCGACAACTTGTGGCTGAGTCAGAAGAGGCCACCCACGATGACCTGCTGCTTCACAATGACGTGCGCTGGTTGAGCAAAGGGAAAGCGTTGGACCGCTTCTGTGCGCTACTGGATGAGGTCAAGGCGTTTCTTAGATTGAGCAAGATTAGGGCAGCAGCTGACCACCTTGCCCTTCTGGGAGACGAAAAGTTAATGTCCAATGTAGCATTTTTAGCGGACATATTTGGCCACCTAAACCAGCTTAACCTGCAGCTACAGGGGAGAGGCAAAACCATAGTGGACATGGTTGAAAAGCTTGAATCCTTCACGAGGAAGCTGGAGTTGTTCGAGTCAGACATATCCACTGGCAGGCTCCTCCATTTCAGTGCACTAAAATCACAGGCACTGGGACAAGTGACAGAGCTGATGGTGGACTTCATCAAGCAGCTACGGGCCAACTTCATGTCAAGGTTTGAGGACTACTCCATCCCAAAAGACATCGCCTTTGTACGCGATCCTCTCACAGTCCGACCGAGTGGAGACTTCACCTCCCAGGCGAAACAAATGATCCCCTCCTTAGACGAGGCTGCATTAGAAATGGAGCTAATTGATTTTCAAACAAGCTCCCTGGTCAGCGATGCGCTCAGAAGTGCGGAGTCTGTGAGTGCCTTTTTGGGTGGGAAGCTCAGAGGAGTATAGCACGATCAAGAGACTCACATGTTATGTGCTCACAATGTTCCCTTCCACCTATACATGCGAGTCGTCCTTTTCTTCAATGAATGTGATAAAGACGCACGAGAGGAATCGATTGACGCATAAAAACCTTGAGAACTGCATGCGGATTAAAGTGACGTCCATATCACCAGATATCCAAAAAATAGCGACCGATGGGAGATGTCAGTTTTCACATTAAGTGAGTACCAAGCCTGTCATAATTGTATTTAATAGCCTAATTATATTTTTGAATGAATGGCTCATTGTAATTATTATCGCTAATGTAGCGTGTTTGCTCTGTCGTTTCAGGAGCATATGCACCACCACTCCTCGCCCTCCATGATCAAGCGGCTTCTCCAATTTTGTTGTCAATGTTTTGCCTGAACTTTGTTACTGTTCACATATAAGTAAACATTACGTTTGAACAGTGGCGAGCCGTGACTTTTATACCTAGGCCCTCTGACCCCCCTTCCCTCGAGAAAAAAAAGAAGAGATATTACGTCACAGCGTATACTTCAGCGGAATATCAAAACAGTGGTCCGGGGTGCAAAACGCATCAATGACAGCGACCCTCTACCACACAAAACAACACCATTTATATAAACACCGATCATGACAGGGCACCCACAGCCAAGGCCTACCTTTGATGATCAAATCACTGAAACACAAAGTCCATCCTCCTGTCCTTTTGGATGAAGCACTTGATGGCGGGTCATTCAGCTGATCCTTTGCCACTCCAGTTTATCATTGGAACTCAATCTTGAAAATGACTCGGTTAATAATTTCGCAACGATGTCATCACTATCACTGAAGTGAGCAATCATGAACGAACTTATGCTAATCATAAATCTATCGATCATAAATCTATCCATCATAAATCTATCGTTTAGATTTATGATTAGAAAATAATAAAAGTAGGGTAGACATGTGGATATTATCCGGCTGAACAAAACGTGCATTTATCTAACAGGTTCGTTTTCCACAGACCTTATTTCGAGCTATTTTCCAAAACCCTATGGAGAAATCCCACTGCTTTCTGTCGAGGGAATCCGAGCGAAGCTTACTTCCGGGTTTTAGGACGCGTCACTGCACCACTTGCATAGACCTCACAGCGGGCGGAACTTGTCATAAAATCCGCGAAAATAAAGCCCGCCCATTTAGAGGGAAGATATGATTGGTCAATTGTACTGTCATTTGACATTACTCTCTCGTTGAGTTACTATAGCTGGCCCTCTGTGAATGTAGAGAGGGACCAACAAGCTCTCCCGTCTTCACATAACTCGCAGAGACGGCATTTAACCCTTCACATTCCAATAGAAACTGAACAGGCAGATTCGAAGGATTTATTTCTTTGGAAATATTATTTTAAATACAATTACATTTAAAGTTATTTTGGTAAAACTAATGAAAAATGTAACAACAAAAAAATATTAAAAAAAACATTTTAAAAAAACCGTTTTTTTTAATGTTTTCAAATATAATTTTTTAGAATATCTTAGGCCCTCACAGAGGGCCCTGACGGCTCGCCACTGCGTTTGAATGATTTAGTGAGCTGGTGTTATATTTTTCAAACCACACACCGAATGTTGGCTATTTCAGCACCACGCGCTGTCCACCTATTGATCCACTATCAGCGTCAGTGCAACCCGCAGCCTGATTGTGCCTGTGCTGTGTGTCATTCACTCTCAACATGGATAAAGTACAATAAGCATTCTTCAGGTGTAGGTAGATTCTCTATTCGGACATTATAGCCTATATGTGCGACTGTCGGTCCGATGTCGCCTGTTGCCGACCCATGGTATACAGTATATGAGCATAGTAGATGTATAATTTATCTGTAGGCTACAAGGGTGGCCCGCATTGCTTGGGCGGCGGCCCGGTGTGTGGGCCGGTGCGTCTGAACGTCCCGGGCTGAATTTGTGTCCCAGTCCGCCCCTGCCGCTCAGTCAGCTTAGTTATCTGTTCTTTGGCACGCTCTCTGCACCGAGGAGCAGCGGAGTCCAGGCGATGCTGCTCCTCCAAGGAAGACACACATGTTCCACTAGCCAAAAAACCGATATCCGGTCACAGAGATCTGCTATTTTAAAGTCAACACATATCGACCCTAAATATAGTCTATATTAAGAACGGAAAAATTCTTAACATATATATCGTTTTTTGTAAACAAATGTGCGAGGGTGATGACGTCAGAGCATCGTCCTATGTGCCGGGCTTAGCCCCGGACAGCCCCGGCCCAATTGAACCCCTGGGTATTTGTGAGGGAGCTCCTATATGGCATTAGCCCGCTGAAGCTCACCAAAGTTTAATATATTTCATAGTTCAAAGTTTTGTCAATTGTTTTGTTTATTGGTCAAATACTGGTTTCTAAGGAGTTTTACTGGAATGAAAGAGCGCAGTCTACAGAAGCAACAAAGCAGCATACTGCATTAAACCTGACCTTGCAGTGTGCGAAAAAGTGCACGTCCCACCGTCCGGGACCTGTTATTCACAACATCGTACAAGTAGCTATTTAAATTGACTTGTCCGATGGACAAGTGACGTTATTCACCCCTTTTTATTGACAAATTATTGATGAATTCAGTTTACAAAAGGCATAACTCATTCGCAAATTGTCCGTGTCCGCCGTTGTTGTTTGCAACCGCTTTACGTTTCCTTTTTACTCACTTACGTCTTGTCGTAAAACTGTGTGAAAATGTAAAATACGATGGCGAAGAAGAAGGTTCTAGTGGCCCCAAGAGGGCAACAAAAGATTTCTTTGGTTTGTACACATAATTCTCACAGTTGTAAAATTGTGTGTTAAGTTAACAAGGAAAATAATTGAAATAAATTCTGTCAGAAAATAGTGGATTAAGGGCTTGAAAGGGGACTTTTATTAATCCCTGTGGGGAAATTCAATAGGCCTAGTTCAAACAGCAACAGGGTAAGGGTGAACAACAGGACAGCACAGATTCACACAGGTTGATCAAATCAAAAATAAAATCGAAGATACAAATAAAAATAATGAAAAACTATGAAATAAGAAATTAATAAAAAAATAATAATAAAAAAGGGGTAGGCCTATGTAAAAAATGTTTTTAAAAAAAAGAAAAAAGGGGGGGATTGAAAGGGGGTCTTTATGTACCAAGGGGCTTGAAAGGTGGCATATCAAATTATTTCAGAAAAAACCCCCAAAAAATGCAGAAAGGTTTGTGGGGAGTCTACGAGTACCTAAAATTCATGTTGCCAAAAATCTATAATTTGTCTGCAAGAACAGGAGTCTGAACAACAGCCTGAACATGCTGAAACGAGTCCTCAGAGAGTCTCAGAGTGTGAGCAGAACGATGACCCCCCCAGTCACGAGAAAGCCTCTGCTAAAAGGCCATGTTCCGTTATCTCACCAATGGCTGGTCCATCTAAAAAGGCCAAGAGTGACATCGCCCTGACACCCAAGAGGAAAAGAACATTTATTGAGACTTGGAAAACCCAGTTTCCATGGGTAAGATGTGTGGACGACATCATGTTCTGTGAGGTCTGCAGAGAATATCCATCCATTGCTGACCACAACAGTAAACTGTACGAGGGTGTCACAGGGTCAAAATGCATTGAGACACTTCAGTCACACGAGTCCAGCAAATATCACCTTCTCTGCATTCAAAGGAAAGAGGTCACAGAGAAAGGCACAGGGCCAATGTTTGTGGCTCTCAAGAAGCAGGCAGAAAATATGGACGACCAACTGAAACCCATGTTCAACACAGCGTTTTATGTCGCCAAACAAAAGCTGCCTTTCCGTTCATTTGAGGGCCTCATCGAACTTCAAGAGAAGAATGGCATTAAAATGCCGACACAGTACCGGAACGATAAGGGGTGCAAGGCATTTGTGCTGGCCATTGCAGAAGTCGATAAGGACAGAGTTTCTGAAGACCTCAAGGCTTCAAGATTCTTTGCTCTGATGGGAGATGGATCCACGGATATATCTGTGACAGAACAGGAGAATGTATATGTTAGGTAATTATTATTTTAAATTATTTTGTAAGTGCATATATTGTCTTATTTAACTTACATTTTATCTCAAAAAGGGCCTTTTGTTTATGAGTCATTAATTCACAATCATTTTATTGATGCATTTTATTAGTTTTAATTTTCAGTTAACTTAAAAGTTTGTAACAGGTAATGTATATACATAAATTGTTTAAAGCAAATGAAGGCGAAGTTGCTTTTTAGTGTTCTTAGTCTTAAAAAAAGGTGAAGGCAACACTGGTGTGGGAAGGTTTATATAAGCCAAATCATTTTACATTTTTTTATTGCACTTTATTGATGTACTTTATTTATTTTCTATCTTCAGCTACGTCAAAGATGGACTTCCAACCACAGAGTTCATTGACATCATGGCTGTAAAGTCAGCTGATGCTAATGGTGTGCTGGCAGCCCTCCTCGAGGCACTACATCATGTCGACCTAACAGATGGAGACATAAAGAAGAAAATAATAGCCTGCACATTTGATGGTGCCAGCGTTAAAGCCCCTGTCACACTGTCCCGAAATTGACACCCGATGGACACACAATAAAGGAAATGTTCAAATTCGGCTGTGATCGTAGCAACATCGAGCCATTCGTGAGGGCATCTAAGCCATTCGTGAGGGCATCTTAAGCCATCGTATGACCGCCGGTGGAGTTTCTCAGGCTCCGGCAGCAACTTCGTGAGCAGCAACTTCGTAAGGCACTCGTGAGGGCATCTTGTCAAATCGTGTCATCTTCGTGTTATTATCGGTGCATTCACCCTCACTCTGATCGGGGCGAATGCCCGATGGCACCGATGATAACAAGATGCCCTCACGATGGCCTTACGAAGGGCACAATTGACACACGAATTCAACACGAAAATGAACCTTCGCAAGGTCCTTCGGCAATTTTTTGGCATGCCAAAGATTTTGCCACCGCTCACGAAGTTGCTGCCGGAGCCTGAGAAACTCCACCAGCGATCATACGATGGCTTAAGATGCCCTCACGAATGGCCCGATGTTGCTACGATCACAGCCGAATTTGAAAATGTCCTTTATCGTGTGTCCATCGGGTTGTTTTATTGCACAACAAAATCATGTAAATATATTATGTAAATAACCCAATTTGTGTTCTGTGAAACTAAAAAGGATATAATATATTATTTTGAAGGAGAGTTTACAGGAAGTTGTTGTTGCTATGGAAACATTACGGAGAAAACGTAATGTTTTCTACATATAAAGACGGATAAAGTAAAGAAAAAAGTCTGAAGATATCAGTACAGTATCATAGTACTGTAACATAATTGTTTTTGGTACTTTCATTGCAGTTGTATGTCTTAAATGTAATGTAAATGTTGCCTTCGTGTGTGGTTCGGGGCCATCTTCGTGCGAAATTCACAATTCCATATTCGTGTGTCCATCGGGTGTCAATTTCGGGACAGTGTGACAGGGGCTTAACCAAGGTGCCAAGGGAGGAGTTATTGTGAAGTTGCGGGAATTGTTGGGGCATGTACTCATTTCGATTTGGTGTGCTCCACATAAGCTGGAGCTGTCGCTCCTAGATGCCACCAAAGCCACTGACTTCGTTGACATCGTAGAGAAAGGAGTGCACCCCATCTACAGATTCTACTATGGATCTGGTAAACGTAGGAGGGAGGTGAATGCCATATCAGCCGTTATAGACGAGGATCCTGTCTATTTCTCAGCACCCTGTGGCACTAGGTGGATGGCGTCAAGACTCCGGGCATACAAGGCTGTAATAAAAAATTACAACTCCGTCATCCTACACATGGAAGAGGCTTCAAACAGAAAAACAGAAGAAGGAGCTAAGTGTGTGGGGTACTTGAAGGTACTGAAGTCTGCAAAGTTTGTTGATGGGCTCCACTTTATGGTAGATGTCTTAGAAGTGTTGGCCAACGTGAGTCTGGCATTCCAGAGTAATGATCTGTTCATTTATGATGTTGATGTAAAGTTGTGTGAGGCCAGGATCAAGTTGGAAGGCCTTAAGCATAATAGAGGTGATGTCTACACTGCCTACATGGCAACCTGCAAGGATGGCAAGTTTGACAGTAAGAACAATGGACACATCACTTCACTGAAAGGAACAGGTATTCCAGAAACAGTGAATAATTTCTTCTTGGAGAATTCTGTGAAGTTCCTAGAAAAGAGATTTTCCTTCCTGAAGGATACCCCTTTCAGTGATTTCCATGTTCTTGACCCCAGGAACGTCCCAAGATCAGACGCACAACTAGCTACATATTAGGGCTGCACGGTATTGAAAAAAACTGACATCGCGGTTTCCCCCCCCCCTGCTGTATATATTGCGTTTTTTTTTAACCTGTTAAACCACAAAGTCCCGGCGGGTACTTTTCTTTTTTTTCACGACAGTGTCTCAGGGGATCATAATATTTAAGAACCTATTAATGTGTTATACCAGATTAACGGAAATAATCTCAGCTAACTGACGATATAAACCATTTTTACCAAAACAAAACACAAGTCTCATAAGAAGCATCTAAATGACCCCTGAGCGAAACATGCTAACGCACTTTGGCACAGAACTCAAGATAAAAGTACCCTTATTATTACTTATCGTAGCTGCACTTACAAGATATCCGATTAAAGCTGAGGTTCCACAGATTATTTAGGTATATAGTATCATCACTGAGTGATCTGAACTCGGACAGGGGAAGCAAACACAGATATCACAACACGTACCTTTACGTAGCTTCTAGGGGAGATGTCTCACCGTAGCTGTCAATCTGATCAAAAGACGTGTTCAATGGCATTACAACGAGAAAGAAAAAGCGCGGCTGAATCGGTTAATCCATAGGGTTTTAACGTCTCTGTATAAAAAAAATGATTTAATTTATAATCCATAATTCCATTTTTATGTAAATATCGCAGAGCAAAAGTTAGCTGCTAATGGTAGCCACCAGAGTGGCTGCTGCTTCCGGTATTGGCTATGTGGCAGTCCAGCGCAGTCTAACACACACACATTATCAAATAAGGAGTGAGAGTGACGCGTAGCCAAAACCGGAAGCTGCATACACTCTGGTGGCTACCATTAGCAGCTAACTGTTGTGCTCCGATTTTTACATAATTATGGATTATAAACAATTGCTTCAAAGCCACAGATACATTATCAATCTATGGATCAACTGATTCAGCCGCGTTTTTTCTTTCTCGTTTTAATGCCATTGAACACGTCTTTTGATCAGATTGACAGCTACGGTGAGACGATCTCCCGTAAAAGGTACGTGTTGTGATGTCTGTGTTTGCTTCCCCTGTTGCGAGATTGGATCGCTTAGATACTATACTTAAATAATCTGTGGAGTCTCAGCTTTAATCGGATATATTGTATGTGCAGTTTCGATAAGTAATAAGGGTATCTTTATTTTGAATTCTGTGCTAAAGTGCGTTAGCATTTGAAAAAAAAAATTAAGAAAACCGCACGTCCCTGCGGTGTGAATACCGCGCATGCGCATACCGCGGTTATCGCCATGACACGGTATATCGTTCAGCCCTACTACATATGGTGATGTTCAGGTTATGATGATGATGACCCACTTCGAGTCCGTTCTCAGTGAGGAGGAGGTAACCAACATCCCTAGACAGTGGCCAGCTCTCAAGGCCAGACTGAAGTACAGGCAGAGGCAGCCCCCCAAGGAGGTCATAAGTGACCTTCTCATTGAGAACCACCCAGATGTGAAGGACGTCCTGGTTCTGGTGTACATCATGGTCACCCTTTCTCCCTCCTCTGCTGCCGTGGAGCGTGGATTTTCCCTCATGAACCTCATAAAAACATCCAGAAAATCCCAGATGACCAATGAAACTCTGGGGTCACTCATGAGGGTCAGCCACATCACCACCACAGTGGCAGAGTTGGACCCAGAGCCAGCCATCCAGAAATGGAAAACATCTGCTAAGACCAAGACAAGAGGTATGTCAAAGCTGCCCCAAAGCTTGCTGCAGTGAACAGAAACTTACCTGTGCCTGTTGCCCCACAGCTCGGTGTGAGGAGAACCAGTGGAGTGCTGCCCCACAGCTCAGGAGACAGCTGCAATGAACAACCACCCTGAGCCTGAAGCCATACATTTCTGCTAGCATGTCTACTAGTCCCACAGAGGAGAAAACATTATATTGTTAGTACTTAGTTGTTTTATCTTATTATTTTATATCTGACATTCATTTGATATGCCTTGATGGTAGAAGTTCAGAAACCAGACACTGTGAACAATATGAACAAATAAACAATAAAATGTTACCTACAGTAACCTAGATTCTTGTGTGCTTTATGTTGATATGTAATCATATTTAAAATAGGTGCAGCAATGCATGCACAAAGTATAGCTATGGACAAGTGAAAAATGTATTCGGACAAGTAAATTGCCAAACTCACTTGTCCATGGACAAGTACTCTCTAAAAACTTTTTCTCACACTGCCTTGACAGAGAGGTTGAAGTTCATGTGGAAAGGAGGCTTCAGTAGTCTGTCTGTTTCATCTCTTGGGAACAATGCCTAAATAGAATACTACTTTCTAATGGTTTCTTTTTCTAATAAACCTTGCATTGGGGTGGTCACACAATTCATTCTCTTGTGCTTTGTTTTATCTGAATTATGATAAGGAGTCATCACAAACTGTTTAGTTGTGCTATCTTACAATCAATACTGTATATAGTAAATGTGAGGTAAAGTGTGTCGCCAATGTAACCGGTTAGAACTCGAAGTGGTGATGAGGTCTTAAAATGTATGGGAAGGGTCTTGAAAAAGGTCTTGCATACCCTGTCTGAGCGCGTACTTTGACTTCCTGTACTCATCCAAATCTCCACCTTTGTTTGCGATAGTGCACGCTTTCAGCTTGGTACGCACCTCGCTGTTTATCCAGGGCTTTTGGTTAGGGAGTGTCCGTACAGTAATCTTCAGTACTACGTCATCGATGCATTTGCCAATGTAGCAATGCCAATGTGTGTTGATGTTGTCATCCTCAAACACACACCACTCCGTCGTTTCAAAGTAAGCTGGCAGCAGTGAGATGTGGTCTGATTTTACCGAAGGGAGGGCGAGCTTTATATCCATGTTGGAAAGGGGAATAAACATGGTCCAGTGTGTTTCCACCATGCAGCTGATGTGTTGGTAGTACTTCGGCAGGACCTTCTTCATGTTGGCAGTGTTAAAATCCACGGCCACAATGAAAGCCGCCTCTGGTCGTGAAGTCTCCGTCCTGTCGATTACACCAGGGGTTCCCAACCTTTATTGTGCCAAGGACCGGCAGATACATTAAAAAAAGATCGCGGACCGGTTGTCAATTTTAACTGATTTGAATATTTACTCACCACCAGCAGGTAGCAACAGAGACTAATTGTATGTAACAGCCTGAACAAATACTAAAACAATATGCAACCAAAACATTAACAACGTTTAAAAAAAAAAAATAACCAGTGTTTTTCGGAAAAAAGGAAAACCAAAAAACCGACTTTATTCGGTTTTTAAACCAAAACGGGAAAACCAGATAAATCAACGTTTTGGTTTTGTTTGTAGGGTTTATGGATAATTCAGTGAATTCTGG